CCCCCCAAATCCCACCAGCCCCCCCTACCTTATAAAAAATGAACGGTCCCTAAGAACATCCTCGCTACAAACCAATTAGTTAAACATTATTTCATTCCCAAAAGATTCCCATTAAAATTAGTTAAATTCAAGTTATTTTCCACACAAAAAGGACAAGAGTCAATTCTTTGCGAGTTGAGGTGTTACTGTCCCATGCCAGTATATGTACAGTTTAAGTATCTCTGTATTTATCCATATTTGGGAAACCGCTTAAAACATTCCTGCATTCCTAGCTCGAGTCCTGGCATTGATATTAGTTTGTCTCACTTTCAGTAACATGCCGCCCTTAAATTTTATAGCTCAACCGACAAATGCGTTTTTCGCTACCGTCAATCAAATGTTCGGCGGCTCCTCCCAGCTTCCGACTACTACCGAACACTGCTTAAGCTGGGAGGAGCCGCCGAACATTTGATTGACGGTAGCGAAAAACGCATTTGTCGGTTGAGCTTTCAATTTTAGAGCCTGCATGTTATTGAAAGGCGCAGTAACTTCAGCGCGAATAATCTCCACTCTTACGAATGTGGATTTCGTTTCCGATGTCTCCTTACACGTACACGATTACAAAAAAAAAAATGTTGCTCTAGTGAAATCAAAATGTTATTCCCTTTCCATTAACTATCGACTGGGACCTCACTAGCGATTCATAAATGATCAGACTCCAGGTTTATAATTACTTCTGTCGTATTGCACATTAGGGACCGGTCATTATTTATCGCCTGTAGGGGGGAGGATTTTTGGGGGATCATTGGATTTTTAGGATGACAGAAGGGGGGGTCAGTCATAACTGAGAGCCCAAAAGGGAGGATCACTAAATGTCATATGCCCATACAGACTTGTTGGACGGCTATTTGGCACTCTAAAAAGTAACTTTGCAGTCTCCAAACACTTGGGATGGTTATGCTGGTTATGCTGGTTGCTGGTATGTCAATCGACATCAGTCACAGGGCTCTCAGTGGAACGGCGGAATTCTACCGACTGTAAAATCGAATGTAGCCACCTGTTCCTCTCATTGAAATTTGTATACATGTAACAATAAATTAAGACTTGCAGATTGAGACGTTTCAAGAAGAAAATAGTATTTAATTAAAAAGGTGAAACAGCGCCACTTGCTACATCTAATTTTATGATCATAACCAACTCATTTTCCGTAACACTTTCCCCCTAAAATGCATGAAATCGCATCTTTGGCCACGTAAAATTTCAAAATTTTCTGGGGCATCATACCCCCAGACCCCGTACGCTGGTTGCCCCTTCTGGCGAATCGGGCCTCACTTTAATTTATGTCGCTTGTTATGCTTTATTGGACGCCTGTGAAAACTACTGTTAGAACCCTGATCAGATATCGGGAAGACACGGATCAAGAGACTGCACCATGGCGGCTTCATTAATATTTTTATTTCAAAATTTAAGTTCCTATAATATAAGCAATCAATAGGCAAAGTTTCACAAAAATCTCAGTGCAAGTGGAATGACCTTAATTTGTGGATACATTATTCATAATTTTAAATAAGCCGACACTAAAACAAGAACTGCAGCAACTTCCTATACAGCTGTTTTGTGAGAGGTTGTCCTAACCTCTTTCCCAGTGTCTCTCATCTTACCGCCCCCTTGGGCGAGGGAGGAGAGATCGCTCGCCCCAGGAGGCGGTAAGATAAGAGACCCTGGTAAGGTAGGCAGCGATGTCGAAAGGTATTATGGGTACTGGTGGGGGGGGGGTTGTAGAAGGAAACAGCACAAACACGTGTATTCCAGCTTCCTCCCTCATTTCTAAATTGCTGTGAAAGAGGTGGATAACATAATAAGAAAGAGCAGTTATTTCTTTATAGAGCTAAATTTCTTCGATAGGGAACATGCGCGGTTTTCCGACTCCGTCTGTGAAAGTCACTGTCAGCGCGGGATCGAACGGAGGGAAGTTATGTTCGGGACATTGCTACTTGTCAAGAAAACAAAGATCCGCTGCTCCGCATCTCCCTGCATTTTCATGCCAAATAACTCATACCTTTTAAATTTTACTTGCGCGTTGCCAGACTTTAACTAAAAGGCTAAGACAGTCTTGCGCCGTAGTTACACGAGAGCCTCAACTGACCTAAGAATGAACGAGTTTAAACTAAACTCGATTGGTCTGGAAGACGTCACTTGAAGAGGGGGCACTGGGATTTTCAGTTTAGCGGTTTTAGCTATTTTTTAGACCAGATTTTCGGTTTTTGTGGCGACAAATCTCGGTTTTTCGGTTTTGGTGTTCATTGCAGTGTGCGGATTTTTCCTTTTTTAGCATTTGGTTTTAGGTTTTTGTCAAAAATACTAGCGGGTTTATGGATTTGGCATCCAATGAGGTTTTTGGTTTTTCCTATTTGGGTCCCGGTTTTAAGAGCCGCAATTATGTGCATCCACTGGTCACATGTGACCGGTTGATTCAACGCACATTTCCATTGAATCTCCAAACCCCGCAAATGGAAATGTAAGGGTGCGTTCCGGGAAGCTGGGGTGATCTGGATCAGGATCAGTGATCCAAGATCACTCGGATCATGGTACATCAAAGATCCCGGTGAATCCGCTCAGGTCACGGATTCATCGGCTACTTTGATGCCCCATGATCCGAGTGATCTTGGATCCGTGATCCTGATCCAGATCATCCCAAACGAACGCGCCCTTAGATTAGGGATTTTCGATGGACGTTCCCCAGAACTATAGACATTGTGTTATGTTCTTGGGTTAGACACTTTACTCTCACAGTGCCTCTCTCCACCCAGGTGTATAAATGGGTACCGGCGAACTTAATGCTGGGGGTAACCCTGCGATGGACTAGCATCCC